GAGAGGTGTGCTGACATTTGATATTCACACCTAAATCTGAAATTCTCCCATTGGGTTCTGAAAGGACCTGCAGACCCCATCCATAGCCTGACTGGGGCAATTTCATGTGCAGGTGTGTATATCACATGTCTATGTACCTTTTTCACTACTGTGTACTATGCAGTTCATTTATACACTTTGTGTAGATACTCAATATGTATATTCACTATCACTACTCTTATGTATACACTTCGTATAGACTTGCGAGGGAAGTAGGGAAGCAGGGGAGTTGGGTTCGTAGAATGTGGATGCAGTCTAGACTAGGCGTACTAAGACACTAACTGTCCTACCTGACTGGTCACTGGTCCTGACACACCCAGACTTTTGGCTTCAATGATGTGGGGATGATAACCCGTTGATATTCGATTGAGACATTTTTTTTTAGCAAGCTTTTCTCTTTTATCTCTAGAATTATGGGCAATCATTCAATGACATGTGAACTCGTAGGTTTTCTTTTCTTTTTAACCAGTCAAATTTTGTATGATGCAAACCAGGTCCACCATATCCCCCCCACATCATATACTCACCATTGTCACCAACGGTTCTCCCTGTTATGTTCGAGAGATCCTGAGACAGCAGCATTGATTACTACGCATTAATTTTGTCAATGGAAGGATTTACCACTGCCTTACGGTAACCCCTGTTTTTCACACTGTCCATGACTGCTATTTCCTAGAAAATCCGAGTCGACAGCATCGAGTCATTGACTGCTCCAGTGCCCCCACTCGCAGGGTGAACTGCCTGACCCTTATTTGACTCAGAGTCTGTGTTTTTTTCTCTACCAGCAGTTCTATCCTTGGCATACTTGCGGCGCATCAGTGCGGTGCGCGATGCGGTGGTGCGCTGGGGCGTGCGCGTGACGAGCGCACTTTCGCGCATGGTGCGCCGTGGTATGCATGAATTTTTTTTTTTTTTTCTACGTGATACACCGATCGATGAGTTAATAATACTTAATATAAGTTATATTGTTTATATAACATTATAGTTTGATTATACTATGATTACAGTATTACGGGAACCCCGGAGAGAGAGGGAGAGAGAGAGAGAGAAGCAACCGCGTGCTGACACTATCGGACCGAAGAAACCGCCCTTATCAACGGGCAACATGAATCCGGAAGCGGGGCGACATGCAGAAAGGACAAATAATATGACGGTGTATCTTTCCATGTTCTGGCGGAAGATTCATTCATTCGTTGGGTGGTGGAGAGCGAAGGGCCGATGAATCAGGTAAGCACGTAACGTATCTCTGGAAGCTTTCTTTTTTTTTTTTTGGAGAATCTYTGAACAAATGAGACTGAATCCTCCGCTTGAACATGGAAAGATACATTTCCATATATGTCTTCTTGTGCATGTCGAGAGTAGTGCAGCGAGCCGGTTGGCCGGGCTTCACTCGCCCATTCTGATGTTCTTCCTTTACTTGTCTTTCTTGTTATTAAAAAAAAAAAAACCAGGGAAAACGGCTGCCAGTTCCGTCGTTTTCTACTTCAGAAGTAATACGAAGAGAACGTTTTGAGAGATCGGGATCCTCATCATGACTGAATCTGGCCTGCAAGAACCCTACCATACAGACTGCAATTACCGTTGAGGTTCTGACAGGTTGGACGTGCCGGGCGACACTCGTGCAAAGAAATTCTTGATTTTTTTCCATTCCAGGAAAAACGGCTGTCAGTTCCGTCGTTTTCTACTTCAGAAGTAATAAGAAGAGAACGTTTTGAGAAATCGCGACCCTCATCATGACTGAATCTGGCCTACAAGAACCATACCATACAGACTGCAATAACCCTACCATACACACAGAGTGTTACCCGAACTACAGATCACTAAAAGCTTGCGGGCCAACGCGCGGCCTCCAAAAAAAATATGGCTGCCTGTTTCTTATTTTACGCGAGCAGGGGGCCGGGTCTACTACCGCCCCTCACGAGTTTTTTTTTTTTTTTGACCCCCATTTTTGGAGGTGCGACGCATGCAGTGCGCGCGCGTCGTGCGGGATGCGCCGTGCGGCGCACGTGCGCAGTGCAGCGCATCGCGATGCGCCACATGTATGATCCTTAGTTATTATGTCTATATTTATTATTTAGTATATTGAATATTCTCTTTTGAAATTCTTGTTCGGAACAGTGGACTGATCTTCAGAGCCTTTCCTGTCAGACAACTGATGCAGAAAATTGTCCTTAGTAAAATGTCTGCTTTTATGATTACAAAATTTGTTCAAAGAAAAAGAAAAGAAAAGAAAAAAATAAAATTGTTCGGAGTCTCTTTTCCTAACTGTGACTGAACAAATCTGAGGAACAAATCCTGATCCAGAACCTGTGGTAAATATGTGCTCTTCTAATTTACCTCACCCCGATTAAGCCCTGTTACAGTTACTGTACTGTTTCTGATGGTAATACACTAAATGTGCCAACCGAAAAGTGGATCTACCTCCTAAAAAAAAAAAAAAAAAAAGTGGATCTACCTCTGAGATTATTATAGTTTTCTTGCTTTCGGAAACTTGGACGCTTGGTGTAGAAAACGGATCTGAGACTCCAATTTCATGTACTCAAGACTCCATAAAACGTGAAGGTGTTTCAACTTTTACCTCTAAGTTTTCCTGGCAATCAATTTTTTTTTCCGTTTTGAACCGGACCATGTATGGTACGCTGGTTGAGCCCACTGGGCATGGTCCAGTAGGGCACCAGGGTTCCAGGCGGGTGGCCTACCGACTGCTCCAACACGCTGTGTGTGTGTGTGTGTGTGTGTGTGTGTGGAGAGAGAGTGTCACATACCTAGTCTAAGAGGAGAAGTAGGTATGGAGGAGGACCAAGAAATTGCCAATGTGAGGAGATTCAGCAATGCAAAGCAGCGGAAGACTGAATGAGAGCAACCTGACTCATCAGTCCCGTGAATCTACTCACGTATACATCATCACACATGTTGCAATGCAAGGATGGGACAAACACAGACGGAAGATCCCTTCTTGCCGACACGCGCATGGGGAGAAGAACCACGGCCGAAGGAAGTTGAAGAAGGAGACAAATGTGAGTGGAAGAAGAAGAAGAAGAAGAAGAAGAAGAAGAGTGCTGGTAGACTGCGGCCAGAACAGTCGCTGCAGCGAGGCCGGCTAGGATAGGATGACAATAAACGTCTGACCAGATCTTCCCCTCGATCTTCTCGGAATTTAGAACCGAGCTGTGTTCCCTCAGAGGATTGTAACCCTCATCATACTGGCACTTAGAGGAACGTATCCAGCCATTTTCACAGCTGAATACGTGTTTCTGTGCTTTGTTTTTTTTGTGTGTTTTTGGAATCTGACAACCTGGCCACGGGGCTGAGATGCCCTCACTGAGGGCACACTCACACTACCACTTCCAAGAATGTATACAACTGCAATCACGGCCAGAGTATTGTTTCCTTTTCTTTTTTTGTGAGTTTCACGGCCGCAACTTTTCTTTTTTTTTTGCCTTTTTTTTCCCTCCCCGTGAGGGTACCATAAAGAAATGGAGTGGGACCCCGGCTCGGAAAACTCGGAGCGCAGTGAAATTCAGGGTCGGCAGAAACAGGCTCGGAGGTACTGGTGGCTTAACCCTTCCCTCTCCCAAGCCCACCCATTTCCCTCCCGTCCTCTGGCCTTTCCGCTCCATAGCCGGTCATTGCCACCCTCTGTCATGATCATCGTACACGGCGTACAGTCCCTGGACACAGTGACTGCGTTTCATTGGCCCACGTGGGAACTCCTCAAGAGGTGAACTTGTTCGCTGGAGTTCAATTGCTCGAGGTTGTTGTTATTTATCCACCCATAATCTGTAATCTTTCGTTTGAACTTTGAAACAATCTTTCAAGCTGGTCTCACTGGGTACTGACCAGGGAAAGATTGAGTCTTGATGCAGGCTGCTGGTGAAGGCTGGCGGCCCCGGGCTGGTGTGAAGAGCAAACTTGAAGCAATGGCGTGCAGGTGAGCACACCAACGCTGCAGCGGCTGCACTGCTGCTGAAGGTCCCTCTTCCTCTCTACTCTCCTCCCAACTCCTCTAGCGCTAAACTCGGTCTTTCCTGGCGCTGACTCTCTCCAAATTGCACTGCTCTTCTGCAGCCTGTTGCTGAAGCACGTCATCCTAACACTTTGTTCCCAAACCTGGCTTAGCTATCTATATCGCTCTCAGAGGCCTTCTTACTTTACACGCATGCCATTGGGTGGATTGCCACGTCGCAGCCATTCATTGTGAACCTGTCTAAGGGGCTCGCCACACCACTATCGAATCCCCTTTTTTTTCGATAGGTGTCAGAAAAATTCGATAGTCCGGCATTCGATAGAAAACCCCCCTTTCGCCAGACAGCACTATCGAATCGTGCGGGTATCGAATGTTCTCCATTCCGGGTCCGCATTCGATAGTGCTGTGTGGCGACCGCGCCTCTCCCGATGAATTGCTTGGCGAATTGCTACTGGAGTGCCTGGAACGCCTCGGTCCGAGGCTGGTCCGGTTTTCGAAGCGCGGAGCGGGGGGAAACAGGCGCGGAGACGCGCGCGAACTGGCAGGCTTTCCGCGAGTGGCGGGGCAGTTCGAGGGCACGAAGTAGCCTACTGCCGGCGCGTCGGGCGGCCACTTTTTATCAGTGCGACGAGTCCATGGACCCGGCGTGCGTGATTCGCACAACTCTCCATATGTGCAACATGCGAATGAACTTCCCCCTTGAATATGGCCAGATGCACTGGCCACATTTTTGTCTTTTAAAAAATAAAAAAATGTGGCGAGTGCATCTGGCCATGTTCAAGGGGGAAGTTCATTCGCATTTTGCACCTTTGGAGAGTTGTGCGAATCCCCCACGCCGGGTCCATGGACTCACTGCACTGGTGAACCGGGCCGCCCGAAGCACCGGCGGCAGCTCACACACATATGGGCAGTGTGGCCATCGACGGCCATAGCCTTCAGCTGCAGTCTCCCGCCAGGGAAGGTGAGGGTGGAGAAGCAGGGGCGCAGTGAGGGAGGCGAGGGCGGTGGCCAGCATTCTACGAACAGCAATTGCACATCCATATCGCCAGTCCTAGCGGCAGAAATGCGGCCGGCACGTAAGCGGGATGTGCACAATCAATGGCGGGTGAGGCGTGCAGCAGCATTCATGGCTGCTGTATTGGCTGCCGTTTACCACATCCAGGAGATGGAGATGATGATGGTGCTCCTCTTCGTGGTCCTCCGACGATGGATCCGCGCACGGAATGGTTCGAGAGCCTGTGTTGCATCCCTGTTGGCTTTCGCCATGCCCGTTCTGGCATCGGCCTTGGATGCAGCAACACGCCCGTCTTCCCGTCGTCGTTGGTGGGTGAAGCCGCGAGCAGGAGGTGCGTGGTGTAACATGATGAGGGGCGATGAGGCTGCATACGATTACTGGTATGACAACATAAGGATGGGAGAAGACACATTTCGCGGTATTGTAGCCGTGCTTGAGCCCTACCTTCAGAGGATGCCCACTCACTACAGGATGCCCACACCTCCGGACCAGCTGGTTGCCTATGCATTGTATCGATGGGCGACCGGGGAGTTGTTCGAGCATTCAGCAACCTCGTTCGGTATGGGTCGCGAGACGGGCAGAGTTGCTGTGCGAGATGTGACGGACGCTTTGCTGCAAGCTTACCCAAGTGAGGTGCCATTTCCTGTCGGGCAGAGACAGGTCGAGGCGTTGGGGAGGTTTCAGGCCAAGGGCTTCCCGGGGTGCTATGGTGCAATAGACTGCACTCATATCCTTATTGACAAGCCAGCTGGCGAAAGGGCGCGTGCGTATTGCAATCGACACAGGAAATACTCCATTGTCGCCCAAGTTGTTGCCGGTGCGGATCTGCGGATTTATGATTGCTTCGTCGGCTGGCCGGGGTCAGTGCATGATTCGAGGATTCTGTACAATTCGAGTCTGTGGCAGAGGGCGGAGGCAGGCACTATCTTCACTGCAGATCCTGTCGTGCTCCCAGGAGAAGTTGAGACCCGGGGATATTTTCTGGGGGATGGAGGCTATCCATCTTTGCCGTGGTTGGTGGTTCCATACGGCGGTGTCCATCCCGAAGGAAGTGACTTGAAGACGTTTGACGACACGCAGAAATCCTTGCGTGGGTGCGTAGAGCGTGCATTTGGACGTCTGAAGAATATGTGGCGGTTGTTCCTTCAGTGTCATAAGCCTGACATCAGATCACTGTGCGACCAATTCCGGGCCGTCTGCATAATACACAACTTGCTAATCAATGCTGGCATCCCTCTTGATCCTCGTTTGGAAAGACGTGCCCCCCACGAGCCCCCTCATGACATCGATCGAGATCCTCTGCCACCACCCGTGGATATGACGATTCTGCAGGCGCGCAGAGCAGGACAGAGGTTGAGGAACTCGCTTCGGGACCATCTGCTTGTCCATAATAGGGAAGTTGCCGCCCGGCGAGCACGCGGGTGACCCCGTAGGTGCGGCTGTGTAAGAGCGTGTGTATGCGTGTTGTGTGTGTGTGTGGGTATATAAGGGAGAGAGAGAGAGAGAGAGAGAGAGAGAGACACTACGTGGTATGCCGACGGGGCAGATGCTGTGCATTGTGTCCATCGTTTCTTATAATGTGCATAACAGTCACAGTGTGGGCTCTCTTGCATGAATGGTGTTTTTTTTTTTTTTTTTTTTTTTTTTTTGATAACCAATTTATGTGTTTGTTACTGCGCATATTTGTCTATTGCTAGTATCCATAGAAGTGTCCGACTTTTTATTTTATTTTTCTTCAATCGTTTGTTCCCTTCAGTTGTTCCCTTCAATTGTCTTTTGAGCAGGCACTGTCGGAGGACCTCCGACTTTTTTATTTTATTTTATTCAATTGTTTGTTCCCTTCAATGGTCACCCTTCTCTAGTGGGAGCAGGCAACGCACTTGTGTTTCTGGTCAGACTGGGCGGAAGAATTTGCAAACATAGTGTTAATCATCTGTTTATGAGTATTCGATTTATTGATGTTATCGACGGCCCTCACCACGGCACTCTCGAAACGTGAAAAAGACACAAATGTAATGGGTGCATCTGGCCATGTTCTAGCGGGAAGTTCATTCCCATTTTGCACGTTCCAAGAGTGGTGTGACCATGCCCTGCCTCTCACGCAACATGAAGCACATCGGAAATGTAATCAATCAGGATAATGGAAACAAATGAAATGGAAAAAACAAAAATACATAAGCGACATTTCACCATTTCTGACATGGACAATGATGAAAGACTTGACACGGAGTACATGGAAGGGAAAAAAAAAAAAAAAAAAAAAGCAGAACAGTCATTGTTGATCGTGCAGCTGAGCACGAACTCCCACTCCTCCCGACACCATTGCCACCACCCATTCCGGATCCTACACATGATATGCCGGGTTTCATTGGGGCAGTCCCAGCTGACGTGGAACTGGTTGCTCGGAAAGCTCAGGCAAACTTTGCGGGAAAAAAAAAAGATTCTTTCTGAAATGATGGCCTGCCAAGGAAAAAAATATATATAAAACTCCGACGAAACAGTTTGTCACAGCCCCTCGTTTGTTGTCCTCTTCTCCCTCTCTGCCTACGGTTTACCGGGCAGTTCTATTTGACGATATATATATTTGACGATATATATATATATGAGTCGGTGAAACTCCGACGAAACAGTTTGTCACAGCCGCTCGTTTGTTGTCCTCTTCTCCCTCTCTGCCTACGGTTTACCGGGCAGTTCTATTTGACGATATATATATATTTGACGATATATATATAAGGAGCAAAAAAAAGCACTGCTTATGCTGCTCAAATTGCTACTGAAAATGCAATCAAACAATGGACAGATCAAAATACCAAACAAGCTGAAGTGAAGGAGCATTAACCCCTTTTCTTTGGGCTTTTGAAGAACGAGAAAAATTGTTAGAATTTTATGAAAGAGTTTCGGGAGCAAGAATGCATGCTAGTTATATACGACCAGGTGCTGATGAGTCGGTGAAACTCCGACGAAACAGTTTGTCACAGCCCCTCGTTTGTTGTCCCCTTCTCCCTCTCTGCCTACGGTTTACCGGGCAGTTCTATTTGACGATATATATGCTGAAATGACGGCCGAATCACGTACAAAAGCACCTGTTCAAATGCAAACCCCAGTTGGAATCGAGACGGAACCAGTTGAACACACACACACACACACACACACACACACACACACACACACACACACACACACACACACACACACACACACACACACACATTCCATGAAGAAAATAACCGATCCAACTACAATTCGTTGGGTATTCGAAAAAAAACAGGAATATTTAAAGAAAAAAAAAAATCTGCAATCGTGATAGCTTTGCTTACACAACGAAACCAACATACCGTAATATAATCATGGCAAGAAATTCCCAAGAAATAACCACGGTCTCCGACGGAAGTTATTAATGACTGCGGGAAAAACAAATAAAGCAGCGAAGGAAGATTGACGACGAGGTTCATCACTGCACGTGTGATAACCCGCAGAATGGCATKACCATTYYCARGAAAWAWAWRAAMAWCCCAAAAAAAAAAAAAAAAAAAAAAAAACCGAAAAAATTAGTAGTAAATAGTAAATAGTAAATACTCAATAATCAAGCCGACAAAATAATAATGGCCGTGACGAAGGATTGCGCCACACATGACTGCGGCTATCTAAAAAGGTGCCGGATGATCAGCGGGAGTGTTCTTGCACGTGGAAATAGCGTTCGCAATGAGGGTTGCATTGGCGCCCATTTTTTCTACAAGCAGCATCAGCACGCCCACAAACTTTTCGTCCGATTTGTCTTGCTTCTCCGCAAAGCGATCTATCGATGCTGTTGTTGTTGAGCCCAGCCCTTCGATCGCGCCAGCCATACCAGTTGCCACCTTCTCGCGCACTGTCTTCCTCCGCTTACCACTTGAACCCGCTGTGCTACTCTCCGCTCCACTGGAACCATCCCCCCGCGGTTGGTGTGGAAGACCCGTATCTGCAAGATGTGTTGGGGTGATTGACGGATCATCTCCGAAGAGCTCAGTGAACACATCGTACACCTCCCTCCGCATCGAAAAAGGGACCTTCTTCAACCTGCGCTGCAAATGGGTCAACTAGAAGAAATCCGGCTCTCCAGATTTATCCTGAAAAGCTTTGATCTTGCGAACATGAGATATTTCATTATCCCACTTCCGCACACACTCCGCCGCGTCCTTGCGGACGTTCCTTTCTCGCAACCGATCTGAAATCTCCCCCCAGCGAGTCGCCTCGTGCTTGAACTTCGACTGCAGGTTGCTGCGCTGTCACTCCTGATCGTCGTCATACTCACTTTTGCATCTGATGAGGGCGATGAGTTCGTCCGTCTGCCAAACGGTGCAGCCGCCAGGCGATGAGGAATCATTGTCATCGTCTTGAGACCCGCCAGGTGCGCCCGGATCGCCTCCCTCTGAGTCGTCACCACCAACCTCCACAGGATGCATAGACGACCCACCACCAGGTTGCGCGCCCTGGACATTGGAGCTGCGAGCCCTCCCCTTTCCTTTCCCCCCTGTCCCCTTCGTATTTGCACGGGGGACGCTGACCTGCACTGGTGATGTGCTCGCACATGGAGCCCCGGTTCTGCTGGCTTCACCGGCGATGGTACGGGCACACTTGCAGGGAACTTGTCCGTACACTGCTCTTCGGTTAGTGCTGCCGCAAATGGCTGTGGGGAAGGCGCAGGCAATGTCGCTTGCCGTTCATTTTGTGATGGCGCCGATGATGTCCCATGAGGGACAGTTCCTGGGCCGGTGTGCTGTCCGATACCCTGCCCGACTGCGCAGCCACGCAGAAGATGCTCCATCATCTGCGGAGGAAGGAACTGCTGTGGCGCCCCCGACCAATCCACAGGACCCTGTTGTCCTTGAGCACCCATCATCTGCGGAGGAAGGAACTGTGGCGCCCCCGACCAATCCACAGGACCCTGTTGTCCTTGAGCACCCATCAACGTAGGGAACAATGCCTCTATCGGGAGACCCCCCCACGTGACACTGGAGCCGTTCCCAGAGTAAGGCCCTGACACGGACGACGACAACCCGCGGGGAGCTGTGTATCCAGTCACACACCACTCGTGAGAGCCATTCGTGCCGCTAACAGGCATGCCACGCCCCGCTATGCCACCATGAAGCACTTGGCGAGGCTGGCTCGAGGACATGTCCAAGCCACCATCGCCGCCAATGGCAATTGCCTGCAACCCCGGGCTGTATTGCGGGGACATACCTTCTGCACTGCCTGGAGGACAATCGTTGAGGTTGACGAGCTCCCCCCCGGACCGCCGCTGAGTTGGCCGACCCCCCACGCGCGCAGAGAAAAGATCCATGGATCCCGCCATTATCGCCGAGGTTCGTGGAGTGCAGCTTGCTCCGACCCTGCACTCTCTCTACCCAGCCGTGCGGAATCTGACAGCACTTTGCCGCGTATTGCTAGGCACACATAGCAGCATACACGTGGCCAGCCGCTCGAGGACACACCGGGCATGGACGCCTCGCGACTGTCAAAGCGCAGCACAGCGTCGAATGAGAGGAATGCTCGCTTGCCCGAGATCCTCATATCACACTGCAGGATGATGACGTTATTATACTTGTGGATGCAGTTGCGGACGGAGCCTGGCCACACACCTCAAGGGAATGCCCCGCCCTCAAGGGAAACGACCATCACCCAGCAGCCGCACTCCATACCAACCCCACCCAGCTGCACTCCATACAAACCGTGCCTTCAGGCATTGCCACACCGCTCCGGAAATGTGAAAAATGAGAATTAACTTTCCGCAAGAAAGCGGCCACTTTTTTTTTCCGTTTCACACTTTGAGAGGGGTGTGGCGTGCAGTGGCGATGTGAGGATCTCGCTGGTGTTTCCAGCGAGCAATCGAGGAATCGCGATTGCGCGGCGAATTCCCACGTGCCCACCCCACCCCGCCCGACGAGTCTTCGGCGGCCATAGCGGTCGCAGTCCCACCAAAAACAAAAGCCGTCTCTCTGCCACGACGGTATCCCAGCGCCGATTGCGGCTGGATATGGCTGCACGCCGCTTCAGGCTCACCACATCAACAGCGTGTCGGCACTTGAAAGTGTGTATGTTGTCGACAACAGACACTTTCAAGCCCCGACACGCCATTGATGCGGTGAGCGAGGAGCGGCGCGCAGCTGAGGTTATCGCCACACCACTCTCGAAATGTGCAAAACGAGAATGAACTTCCCGCTACAACACGGTTAAGTGGTCAGATGAACTTCCCGCTCAATGAACTTCCCGCTATCCAACATCGTTGCTCCGAGCCACGGCAACCGCACGTGCATGAACAGTCGCATCACCCCGCGCCATCGCACTAGTTGCCGACGACGGTGTTGCGTAGCCCCGCTCCCATGTCCACCAAAAAAAAAAAAAAAAAAAAAAAAAAGGAAGAAGAGGAAAGGCGAAGCTGTTTCCAGAGGTGCTGCGGAAAGGGGAACCCCTGCTCCAAGGTGTTTGAAGAGGCGACGCGGAAGACCGCTTCCGCACATACTTCACAACCACTGTGGGGCAACGTTCAGATGATTCCCGCCACAGATCCGAAGGATCCTGTGGCAGTAGACGGATCTGTCGAAGCGGGTGCGGTTGGTGTGGCGCGGGAACTCGGAATTGCCAACCTTCCCCCCATGTCGCCCGCAGCAGTTGCGCCCGCCCGCGGTTGCCCTGCGGTAGCAGAGCCCCTCCAATGTCCCATGGGCCACTCCGATGGGCGCGTTTCCGGACCACGATTGCCACTGCCCTCTCGAATTTCGATACCGGACTATCGAAAAGAAAAAAAACAAAAACTGACGTCGTCAGCGTGAGGGTTGTGGCGGCTAGCGCGTGCGTGAGCGGTAACTCGATAGGCCGGAAAGGAGGCTATCGAAAAGAAGGCCATTGCAGGCGGGCGTTCACAGTTTGTTCGATAGGGCTATCGAATCCCGATGTCTGACACCTATCGAAGAATTTCAAAGAGTTTTTTTTGGATAGGCTGTGTGGCGATGCGAAACGCAGGAGAATTCATGTTTCGATAGTGGTGTGGCGAGCCCCTAAATTAGCCACTCCAACTACTAGTACACCGAACTCCTGGTCCAGTGAGCTGGCCTCCAAAACGAAAAACGCTCCTGGGTCCCTACCGGATGTCCAGGCCTCAGCAGGGAAGTCCAAAAAAGGACAAGGGCTGGACCAGCACTACAGAAAAAAGCTGGTCCATCCCACATGCGGACCAATTGAAAGTCTGCAGGGCCTGAAAGATGCTTGCTGGGCCTCAAAATGGGACAACTGGTCCGAACAGGCATACATATTAGGTCGGACTACCAGTTTGCGGTTTGATGGGCCGACATGGAGGGCTCTCCAAGTGTTTTTTTGACCTATGGAGGATGGGGTCAGTGCTTTCTTGCTGCTGGAGTCCTCTGTCGTAGGTAAGTTGATTCCTTCCGTCCACCCTTTTATGGATCAAATAAATATATGTATGTATATGTATATGTGTGCAAGACTGAGTGTGCCACCTCCGCTGCAGATGGGTGTGTTGGCACTTGGCGCTGAACCACTCAAACGTGGCCAACCTTGCATTTTCAATTATATTGTTTATGGGGCTCGTTACACAGTCCTATTGAGGTAAGGCTCGCAAGTGGCATTCAGGAGGTCATGGGCTCGATCCCCATTGGCCTCATGCCTTCCTGGACTTACTTGGCACCCGCTACCCAAGAGATAGACCACTGGATCCCCCGATCGGCATCAAGCAGAGTCTGCTATGTTCGTAGGGGAGGGGCCTGAGGAGAGGCACGAGGCATTGGTCCGCTTTATCCCTGGTGCTACCGGCCGTCCCCTGGCCGGTATCCTGCAGGCTCGAGGGGCCGTTAAAACACGGCTCTGGTATGCTACGGGTTTCCCCGAATGCCTATAGGTTGGATGACACTCAAAAGTTATGCACACACACACACACACACACACACACACACACGCACTGAACTCGAAGTCTTATGCAACCCAAACACTAACTGACCTCATGTGTCATTCCAGAGTAGTCTGTTCCGTCAGTGAGCATTTAAAATTCTGTGAAGTTGATCATATATATCTCTCTTCCGCCCTTTGCATCTCGTACTCTATCCTGCTCCTCACATATTTCTCTCCTGCCCTTTGCACTCCACCTTCACCAGGTTCAGACAAAGCATAAGCTGAAGGTCCGAAGTGAAATGAACAGGAGTACGAAGATCTGAATTGAAATGCACAGGAGCATACCTTTCCCTTTACTCTGCCTCCTGTTATAACGTGCAAGTGGGCCATTCAGGCACATGGGGATCTGGGCAGCTGCCGCTTGACCACAATCAACGTGGGCATTGGGCAGCCTTGTATGTAAGAGGCATAGTAAAGGAGGAGCTGTTGCCCTAAAGACACCCAAGCTAAACACAGTTATAAATGGTTCTATTATGACTCGTGTTGCTTGCTCAAGAGGTGAAATTGTTTAATAATTGTTGGGCTGTCTCTACTCGAATCTTCTCCTCTGGGTGGAGTAGAGGCTGTTGTGGTGAAAATTCAACATACACCAACCTTGCATTTTTCACTATCTTGCCTGTCTCTATTTTTTGTTTTTTGTTTTATGGAGTCGGACCATGGTTTATGATGATTCCTGGAGGGAAGGAGAGAGAATCTGGGGTTCCTTCGAAAAAACACACACTCCGATCTTGCTAGCTCTCTGTCCTGGCAGATTGGAGAGGCTAGTAGCGAGCTCTTCTCCTTTTTTGTGGTTGGCTATGTTTTGTTGGTTTGGTTTATTACACTTGGCCTAATGCTTTGCCCTGCTTTAGAGCATGGTGTAACATATCAGAAAGTGAAATGCACTGAAAGCCTAGGATCTAGCAATGACGAAAGTGGCAACAACCAGCAGCATAGGTGCAACATTCACAAGGTGTCAATGTGCGCGACGCAAAGAGTGAAACAACGGGAAATCAATAACAACACATTCGTGTCACCATCATCATAAGCTGGGAAGCAGCGCAGCGGAAGATCTAGTATCAAAGGACACGTGGACAACAACATGAAAGGGAGAAACTTCGGAAGGGCAAGACACCAGAAAGATTGCCCTTCCGCTCACACACATGGGGAGAGATCCATAGACATGCGAGAGAGAAGGGGGAGGGACATAGAGGTAGCCAAGTCCAACCCAAGTCTGATCTCCGAATGTCGCACACGGTTCAATCCCAATGTAAAGTGTAAGTCCGATCTGAATGTCGTGTCCAATAAGGCAGAAGGCCGTGTCCAAACAATGTCTGCAGTTACCTCTATCTCTACTCTGATAAAGAAGAAGAAGAAGAAGAAGAAGAAGAAGAACTTCAGAGGAGTAGGAGGAGAAGAAGAAGAGGAAGAAGAAGAAGAAGAAGAAGAAGAAGAAGAAGAAAGCTG